TTGCTGTTTGGAGGTTCTTCTACTTCTGAAGGTAATTCCATAAATCTCAAGATGTTTAACCTAGTTTATCTTGAGATCCTGTGGGATTTTATGACTAGAGTCTGTAGTATACCTGTAGGCACTGGCCATGGAAAGTACAGTACTGGTTGGGGAATGGTTTTTTGTAGGAATAAGATGTGTTCTTGTTACCATTAACTTCACAGCCAGCATTAGCAAGATAAGAGCTGCAAACAAGTATACAATCTGTTTTCTTTTCTAAACCTAATACTGCTTTATACTGTGTGGTATATTTTTAAGAAGTGTTTCTTGAAGCTTAACTGAAAACACAAATGACCAGTTGCACATCTATGGTGGGTATCATTGCTCTGTTTGCAAGATTCAGAAAGCTGCTTAGAGCTGGCTTTTCAGTTTTACTTTCTATGTGAGAATTTTCAGTTCTATTTTCTATGCGAAGCTAAAGGTGATTAGTTTCTTAATGTTTGTTATAATTGTGTAGGTATGCTTTGTGCTTTGTGTGTGTGAGTGCGTATATGATATGTGTTTGTTGGGGTGAAAGTGGGTAGAGGCTGGAGTACAGCTTTGTGGCGTTAGTTCTCCCCTTAAACCTTTATGTGGGTTCTGGGGATCAAACTCAGATCCTGGGAGGTATGCAGTCACTTTATCCGCTAAACCATGTCTCTGGCCCTACTGATGGGATTCTTGTAATATAATTTAAGTTATCTCAAATGATCTTCTCTAGAAAAGTTCAGATTTATACCAAAGAAGGAAACCAAGGAGTTTTGCATAGCACCTGGAAGCCTTGGAATGCTGGGAAGACATATGTTCCAATTAGAACAAAGAACTCCATGTTGAAATCCAACACTATGCAGAAACTCAGAGGAAAGATGCTGAATTCAAAAAGCATCTTTTATGGCAATAAGCATTTTATTAGGTAGGGTTTCTATTGTGAAGTGACACCATGACCATGACAACTCTTATAAATGAAAACATTTAATTGGGGTGACTTGCTTGTAGTTCAGAGATTTAGTTTATTATTGTCATGCTGGGAAACAAGGCAGCATGCAGGCAGATATGGTACTGGAGAAGGAGCTGAGAGTTCTTATATCTTGACCCAAAGGCAAGAGGAAGTGGTTAGTGTCACTAGGTGTGGCTTGAGCATACATGGGACCTCAAAGCCCGCCTCCACAGTGACACACTTCCTCCAATAAGACCACACCTACTCCAACGAGGCCATACCTCCTAATTATGACAGTTTCTTTGGGGGCCATTTTATTTCAAACCACCACAAGCATGATTTCTCAGACTGAAAATCTGGGAAAGGCACATGCTTTAGAGGAGGACTGTATGCCATGGAGTAGCTACTCAATAGGTAATTGTTGAATGAATTCATTAGTTGAATTCTATATCCAGTAAGATTGACAGAATGTTCTAGTGTCTACCACACTGAGAGAACCCAGTCGTAAGAGCTTTCCATCTTTGATGTATGTCTTAGATAATGATAAAGATATCATATCTAACAAAAACAGCTCATAAAATAATATAAAATTCTTATCTTCACAGTTTAAAGTGAGAACACAATTCTCTAAGATAAAATTGGATAGAAATAATACTCAAGTCTAGGATACATCATTTGACTACAGATTTTCCTGATGAGTCTTCAGCTGCAGGGTTCTGTAAATTTATGTAAATATTCATAAAGAAATTACATTTCATTCTGAATCCTTACTTGGGCACATTGTTGTCTAGAGGTGACAGCATTGCAGGACCAATGTAGATACTAGGACTGTAAGTGACCTCAGGTATCCTCTAGAAATTGTCTGTCATGAAGATGAGAGTACAGGAGGCAGGAGAGCTGGGAGGCTTACAGAAGATTGAAAAGCTGCTTCTTTTTCTAGCAAAGAGCCATTTGGAGAAGAGAAAGTAGCAGGTAAATAAGCAGCCTATTCCCTGATGAGAGAAGGGTTCAGATCCAGAGGTCTTTCTCTGCGTGTTGTTGAGTTTGTTTATGTTTATGTGAGAGTATGGATATATGTATGAATAAACATGAATTTGTATGTGCATTTAAATAAGTGCATTTATTTGCGTATGAGTATGTGTAAGTGAGAGTTGTGATAGACAGACTACAGTGGCTTCTTGACATCCTGGCCTTGCATTGCTAATTTCACTATATCTAATATAATAAGCAGGAAGATAAGAAAGACAACAACAGAACAAGAAGAAGAGAGCCTGTTTTTGGCTTTCAGCTGTGCACTGTTGTTCTTCCTCTATGCCATCAGAGCACTCATTCTCCCCAGGCCCTTCTTAGGAAAATGGACATGCTGGATTCAGCCTCATCACACAAGTTTAACCAAGTTTATTTTAATTACATCTATAAAAATTTTCATACAGTACGTTCTGATCACAGTTTTCCCCTCTTGCAGCTCTTCCTAGATCCTCTTCACCTCCCTACCCACTCAAATGGACACTTTTTCTCTCTTTCCTTAAAAAACAAATAAACAAACAAAAAAAAACCCCAACTCACCAACAAACAAACCAAGCAAAAAAACCCCACAAGAAATAAAACCCACAGAATCACAAAATTGGAAAACACACTATACAGGCAAAAGACAGATAAGACAAAAAAATGCCTCAACAAAGAAATCTGAGACAAAGTGTCTATAAAAATACCATTGAGCTTGTTTTGTGTTGGTCATCTACTGATGGGCATGAGTCCTACTCTAAAGTTTGTTTAATAAACCGGTGAGATTCCACTGGATAAAACACTCTTTATAAGCAGGTCTCAATTGCAGATAGCTTATTGGTTAGGGTTGAGAGCCTGTGTTGATTTCCCCCTCTCGGCCCTGTAATCCTGTCTAGCCCTGTGGAGGCCCTGCACATGCTTCCACAGGCTCTTTGAGTTCATATGCGTAGCAGTTCTGTTGTGTCTGGAGTTTGCTGTTCCCTTGGAGTCACCCATCCTATATAGCTCTTAGAATCTTTCCACTTTCTCTTCCATATAGTTTCCTGAGCCTTGAGGGGAGGGGTTTGATGAAGACATTACTACTTAGGACTGAGTATTTAAAAATCTCTCATTCTCTGCATGTTGCCCAGTTCTGGGTCTCTCTGTATTGGTTCCCCTCTATTGCAATAGGCAGCATCTCTGATGATGGCTGAGTGAACCACTAAACAGAATGTCACCAGGAGTCATTTTATTGCTATGTTTCTTTAGCAGAACAGTAGTATTGGTTTTCCTCTAGGACCATGACCAACCAGTCTAAAGTTTGTGGCCACCTGAGAAGTGGCAGGCATGGGCTCCATTTCCTGGAAATGGTCTTAAATCCAATCAAACAGTGATTAGTCACTCCCACAATGTTTGTGCCACAATTGTAGCAGTATATCTTGCAGGCAGGTCACTATTGTAGCTCACAGTCTTTGGAGCTGGGTTGATGGTTACTTTTCTCCCTTGGTAGTGTGCAGAATACTTTCCAGTACTGTGATCGCTAGTCAGTAGGGGTGAAGCCTATAGTTAGGCAACAGATCAAATTTTCTGCATTCAAGAGATATGCAAGTGTTGTCATCAGCAACAGGATGTCATAAACCATCAGTGTGAGGACAGCAACCAACAGCCCTGGCATTAGCCTGAGATCTTTGGGACTTCCCGTAGGGTCCCTTTGGCCAATGACTCAACCATATGTAACTCATTCTTGGCACTGGAGGTTTAACTTTGTGGTAAAGATATCTAGTTGGGGCATGTCTCTCCACTATTTGCTTATTCCACTTGGACTTCTTTCTCATATAGATATATGAGGAAGCCTCTCCAGTAGTAGGTTTACATACGGTCCCTCAAATGGCCTTTAGTGCTAATTGCCCTTTCCATATTCTCTCACTTACCTCTTTCTTCCATCCCCGCTCCCATTTACTCCCAGTCTTTCACCTCCCTGCAATTATAGATTCTATTTCCCCTTAGATTTTTTGACAACTCCAGTTTTCATTGGTTAACACTTTGGTTTGCTTTTCAAGGAACTAAGGTTTGGACTGTGAGCCACTGGGGAAGCTGCCTCAGGCAGGGAATGTGGTATAAAGGAGTCTTGAAATTAGCCAATTAACTCAAGACCCAGAATAACAGCAAAACAGGGCTTTTAATAATGGATTTTATCTTATCCCAATTTCTACATCTTCATTAATCTTCAACTCTTCCAAACAACTCACATAGCTCTGTTTGACTTAAAACTCAGGATTCTTTTAATTTCCTTTGTTCACAACTCTCCAGTAAAAAGCAGAAGTACTGATAGTATGAAAAATGAAATTAGGACCATGAGATTGGACCCCATTTCAACTCTGGTGTTAAATTCTGCTATTACTTAGTTATTGGCCAAATTGCTGTGTTAAAACTGCTGTTAGCCAGGTGTAGAGTTCTATCCAACAATTCCACCACTTGGGAGGAGGAAGCAGGATGATCATGAATTTCAGGCCAGCTTGGGCTACATATTTAGGTCAAGCCTATCTTAGGCTATGTAGAGAGACCTTGCCTAAAAAAGTCCAACCTAAACCAACCTGAAACTGTTGCTAAATTTTGTGTAGTATAATCTTTGTTTTTATGAATGAAGCAAATATGTATTAAGGGCTGAATTAAATTTATTGGCATATTTACCAATAATGGCTATATATTTGCCTGAGAATCCAACAGGGCTCTTAAATCATTTATAGAATTATACTTCTCTGATATAATGCAGTTACCAAGAAATTTATATACAAATTTGTAGGAATGGATACTTTGGATAAAACTAAGTAATAATAATTGTTCAGGATCTGTAGGCTAACATGTTTTTACATATTTCTTGACTTATCAATCTAACAAAATATTAACATGATGGACTAATTTCTTTTCAATAACAAGTTGTGGAAAATAACCCCTTTCTTCACCTGATAATGTGTCATTTAACTTAATAGAGCTGCCTATAATTATGTCATATTCTTCTCCCTTTTCATCTCCATTCTTACTTTCTGGTTACCCATTCTAGCAATACAAGACCAAGTCAAGCTACAAAGCTTTTGCAGCAATCCCTACAAACACATTGCTCTTGGAACAGAAGGTCAGTGTTGGCTTTTAAGCAGAGTGATTTTTATGTTTCTAGTGTCAGTTTTGTTACATGTATAAAATTTCTAATGGAAAAAAATGCATGTTTTCCAGTTTTACTAAAATCAAAACTGCTCCTAGTTTAAGATACTGTGATGAAAGCATCTTGGTTAGCATAATGGCTGACATCCTTTTCACCATGAGGGTTGAATATGATCTCAGAGATGTCTTGTCCACTGTCAAGAAGACTTGGAGGTTTGATTCAGACTTCACTAGATTCCCCCTTCTTTGAAAATTTAAAATCTGTTATGTTTAAGTGTTTCTTCCTCTGTTTGCATAAATCAAAGTCAAGGTAAAATGAGATTATGTGCACAACTGGCTACCTTAGTCATTGATCAGGTCAAGATTTGATTAATGTCAGCCTCCATTATCATGTTCTATGCATACCGAGATATAATACTGAGTGTCTGCTGTAGCAATGCAGACTCTACCACCAGCTAAAACTCCTCATCCACTCCTGTCAATCACTGCTCCTGCCCCTACTCCCTTCTGCATAGCAGGGAGATTGGAAATCACTCCTAATGACTAAAAAAAGCTTCCATATGGATCTAGGTAGTTTTGCTTTGCTTTTAAGCATCACCAAGTATAAAATGATAGGATGATATGTGTATATATACATATATATATATATATATATATTAATAAGCTAATCACATGTATGCAAGTGAAATCACATGGAAGATTCACATCAGAATCAAAGTGAAATTGTTTACCAAGTGTGGGAAATTATAGATGTCATATGTTATTTTATGGTGATTTATTTAGGATATTTAGTAGTTACTGCATTAAGCCTATTTTTTTTACATGCTTAATGATAGTGTTTCAAGTACTGTTGCTATCATTTGTCAAATGTTAATTGTTTGTCAGCCACGTGATATTTTGGTATGCAGGTTTATGAATCTGCATTCTTTTTTTTTTGGTTTTTCAAGACAGGGTTTCTCTGTGTAGCTTTGCGCCTTTCCTGGAACTCGCTTTGGAGACCAGGCTGGCTTCCAACTCACAGAGATCTGCCTGCCTCTGCCTCCCGAGTGCTGGGATTAAAGGCGTGCGCCACCACCGCCCGGCGAATCTGCATTCTTATTCTCTTAGCATGATCCAGAAAATGAAGCCTTTGTATGATGTCTAAAAAGTAAGATTTACATGGGAAATGTTTAGCAGCATAAGATCAATATTAAGTGTGTAACATTTCTTGTAGCTTGTGTCTCTGTTAATAACTCCAAACCATCCACATGTGGTCTAAAGTCTGTGTTCTGTATGGACAAATGTTGATCTGCATGGTTGTCTGCTGGAGAAACATTTGAGAGTTGGTCTCTAGCTCCTTTCCCAACTTTTTACCTTTTGTAGCTTAACAAAATATAATAAGCTTAAAGCATTAGAAGTGCATGGGAAGCAACTCTTCCACAGTTGCCCCTTTTCTCACTGTCTAGGGCCATCATGGTGAGTCATGGGGGCAGTGTTTAGGGACAAAGACCCGCTGTCATTTTCAGGTGTCATCTCTGAAATCTGATCACAAGCATCTGCCTTCAGAGATCTGGGAGACGTTTTCCCTAGCAATGAGGCAAAGAGGACATGCACCTGCTCTGTCCTCTAACTGAGACACACTCCCCTGGAAAGTGAGGGGCTACATGTTACATGTTAACTTTGTATGTAGAAAACTAATAGTTAATACTGCCTGGGACTCTGTGAGATATGGCTCCAAGTCACATTTCTTTTAGAACCTTTGACTTTACAGCTTTCTTTTCCACTACTGAACCATTTTATACAGGTTATAATCTGTTGTACATTAAAGCTGAAAATTTATTAGTTGAACCTACAGTTTTATCACAAACCTGTTTCACAAAGGTGTGTGGGCATATTGAAGCATATTAAATCCATGCAGTTCATATGAGACAGATCTTGTGGATTTTATTTTACATATAAAATTATGTAAGAAATTTATCTTGGTACAATAGGATGTAAATGTTATGTATGATACATGATTTAAAATAATGCTTCTCTAAGGAGGAGTAGATGATTGCAATGTACTCATTTGGCCAAGGTAAATTGTTCAAGACCATAGATATTGGGGCTACTCAAAAGCCATGAATTAATGACAATGATTTTTCATTTTCAGATCATTTACAATTCTACATTTTTAAAAATTTGACACCAGTGACCTCTAGGATTTATTTGTACAATATCACCAATCTTCCTCCCTTTAGTCCAAAGAGTCTCCCATGGACAATACAAAACATCCAGAGTGTACTCTTTATAGCACTCACTGGCCCCATCCTGATTTCATCTGTAAGGGATTTGATAGCTTTGAGATAAAAAGAAGTTTGTCAAAGAATTCAAAGAATGAACTAGCAATTGTCACTTTCAGAAATGGAGCCAACCAAGTCATATACAAGCAACAAATGACTGCATCATTTGAACAAGATAAAATGGAGCAGGGAAATTATAATTTTATATATTTTAATTAATTTTTCTTATTGCATGTTTTTAATTAGACAATTGCTTTTTTTTTTTTTTTTTTTTTTGGTTTTTCGAGACAGGGTTTCTCTGTGTAGCTTTGCGCCTTTCCTGGAACTCGCTTTGGAGACCAGGCTGGCCTCAAACTCACAGAGATCCGCCTGGCTCTGCCTCCCGAGTGCTGGGATTAAAGGCGTGCGCCACCACCGCCCGGCGACAATTGCTTTTAAATAATTTAAAAAATACTTATTTCCCTCTTTCCTGCTTTCTTTTCTTTTCTATTTTTTGCTTTCCCTTCTCTCGTTTGTGACTTTCTGTTCAGTGGACTTAACCCAGGGCCTCATGCATGTTAGATAAAGAGTCTACCATTAAGCAATATACTCAGTACAACAAAAATTTTTATATAAAGTCACGTTCATTTCCAACAACATTTAAAATGATATTGTATTGCCTTTTTCAGTGTTGTAGTTTTTAAGAAATCTGATAATTTAGTTCTTTGAACTCAACTATACAGCATAACTCATTATATCATTGAAGTCAAGGGATTGACTTCTGAACTGAGTGAGTTTATTTAAAGAACATAACGTTTAGAAATGCATTTCTTCTGGTTGGGATGAGGTTCAGAAGCTGCTTTCCCCTCTGTGCTAGATCATTGACTGCCTTGAGTGTGTGCAGGTCTTGTTCAGGAAACCGCAGATGCTATGTGTTCACGAGTGCAACAGTTTTGTCATGTCCAGAAGACTCTGTTTGCTGCAGTCCTCCTGACCTCTGGCTTTTCCAATATTTCCACTGCCTCTTCTGCAATGATCCCTGATCCTCAGGGAGAGGGTGATATTATAGTTGTCACATTTGGGCTAAGCACTCCGCAAACATTTATTCTTTTTGATCATTTGTAAGTTTTTGTGTAAACTTCTGTTCACTGCACAACACAACTTCCATAATGAGGTCTGGGAGTGGCACTAATCTGTGGCCTTAGGACACATATGTAGAGGAGAATTTGGCATTATGTATATTTAGCAGAATAATAGTAGTAATTTTTCCCACAGGGCCATGATCTCCCAAACCATGAGTTCTTGGTTAAGTTTATAGCACCATGGATCTGTTTCCTCCCATGGAGTAGACCTTATATCCAATCAGAAAGTCTTTGGCTACCCTCATAACATGTCAGTATTGCTTCCTTGGGGATATCTTGCCATTCCAGTACTTATGTTATTATAGCTCACAGAGGTCATAGCTGGGTTATGATCTGCTTCTCTAGCAGCCTGTACAGCACCATCTAGTATTTTGAAAGCTGTCAAGTAGGGAGGAAACTTCCTTTTTAGTATCAATTTCATTTCTTCATGTCCTGTGACTGAAGTGGATAGTATCTTCAGCAATAGGGTCAAGTTCTGGAGGGTGACCAAGATCAGTTGAAATAGCCTGCATTGTTTTGGTGGTCTCTGGCACTCCTCTAACAACTCAAGGGAAGATATCCCACACCTGGCACCTTTTTATTTGGCAATCTATTACTTCTGGGATGAACATTACTCTCTGTACAGGATAACTTCAATAAAAGTATTATATATATATATATATATATATATGAATAGATACATATACAAATATATACATATATGAATACATGCATATATGTATCATGTATATATATATGTGTTTATATATACACATATAACATATATATTTTATATGAAACTTACAGAACGGAATATTTTTAATCATGGAAGGTTGTTTCTTTTCTGTCACATAGAACACAACTGGAAGGCTGATCTGGGAGAATCATTACAACACTTGTTTGGGAGTTACACTGTGGGTTGCCTTGACAATAGAACTCACATATATAACTCAAGTCTTACATGCTTCAGCAGTAAGCCTCTCTCAAGATAATTATGTGCACAGTTGATTTTTTATGCCAAGCATATTGTATAATTAGCAAATAGAATTATTTTTGGAAAATAACGTTATTTTTTAAAAACAAGATTTTCAGCAAATTAGAACTCAGCCATCTTTTGTAGTGAGTTGTTATGTTATCAATAAATTATGGGATTAGTTAAGCTCTATTACCTCTGGATGAAACCCATTGTTTTTTCATTTTTGAAAGGATACACTTTGTTGACAGGCAACATAAGGTTTCTTAACGTGTCTGCATCAAAACTTAAATTTGTACCCTATTCCATTTCTAGTATTTTCCCTGTAAGAATTGATGAAAGAAGCATTTTTAGCTCACTCTTTTACCATGGTTTAACGGGAAGAGATAAATGTGAGGCATTGTATTTTAATAAAGTAACTCCAACATCTTTGGTTTAAGCACCTATTAATAATCATTTTCTCCCAGAGAAACATGAGCATGGGATACCAAGTTATATGCCACCCTCTATAGACTTGGTTAAGAATGAAGTCCCTAGACAAGTGACTTTATTATAGACATTAACTTTAGTCACAATGTGTGCTGTTATCTATTTCAGAAAGTGTTTGAGATATTTCTAAATTTTTTTATCACTCAAGTCT